TAGGGGTGGTAAATGATCGGATCGAATTGAATACTAAGGTGTTCATGTTTGTATTTGTTTGAAATTATCGAATTCGAATGCGGACTCTAATATTTATATATCTAGTTTTTCGAACTCAAATACTTGGTATTTGATAATTATTCATGAATATTCACGAATACTAATCGAATATCAAAGTATATTTATTTCGCTAAAGAGTTTAATTTTAAAATAGTATTAAAATTCATAAATAAATTTTATTCATTTATAATATATGATGTATATATATTTAAATTACAATTTTAACTAGAAAACTGATTTAAGATTATTTAAGTCTTAAAATCAATATATAAACCTTAAGCAGAAATGGTAAGTGGGTTAAAAATATGACATCATATGTGCAATAATACAAATAATAAGCTGTGATCAAATTTTAAACGAATATTTAATAGACAAACGAATCGAATATACATCTGGTTAAATTCTATTCGTTAATAAACTAGAATACTAAAAAATATGTTTAGTGATAAATGAACTACCGAATCGAATATAACCGAATAGTTATTCGAATAATTACCGAACCATTTATTGATTATTTGGTTTATTTCCACCCCTTGAAATAAGCCTTGTTTTTTCTCCATTTAGCCCCAACACCACCTTAATTCTGTTTACTCGGTTTGCTCCATCTCAAGTATTGCTTCCCTTTGCACTTAGGGAACAAGACAACCCATGTACGAAGGAAGAAAGAAAAAAAAATCTCTCTCCGCTAGTCGCTGCCCTATTCCTCCTGTGATCCCTAACAATGCTTGTGGCTTCTATTTCTCCCTTCTTTACTCAGCATATACTGGCAGTATGCTCACTGTGACAAATATACTAGTCTAGTAAACATGCGGCAAGATAAAAGCCATAGTCGCAGGAAGCAAATTAAAAAAAAGAACAGCCTCATCCCAATTATAAATCACCCAATCAAATAAGGAAAATATGGGAATAATTATATCGTTACCTAGAAAAATCCTTTAAAGAGGAGGAAAAATACTTCAAAGAGGAAGTTTCTTCCGCTTGCAGACCAGAAGTAAAAGACCAGAAGCAGGAAGAAAATGTGGGACAGAGTAAAAGACCAGAAGCAGGAAGAAACTCTTCCTCTTTTCCTGTTCCTTTAAAGGCACAGTTCAAAGAAGCAAATGATATTCAAAATGGAAAGCATCATCACAATGTCTTCTACCTATTTGATTTTGCAATACTCAGTAGGCAACAATCCGGTAATGCGATCAAGTTACATCAAAAAACATAAAGAAAATGAAAAACATCGAAAGTGCCAAGAGCTAGACTACATAAGCTCAGAATCGGTATCATGTTGGAAGGCCTCCAGACTACAGATATAATCATTTGTAATGTTAGGTGCTGCTCTCTATTCTAAGCTTCAGCAGCTTAAGAAAGATGCTTCAGACGCATTGCATCAAACTGCATCTAAGAACAAAAAACATAACATTACAGATGAGACCACTGATTAACTAAGAAGCCGGTAATCTTTGAGAAAGAACAAACATTATTAGAAGTTTTGCATTGCACAATCATTTGAAGAAAAAAAATAACACAATAAATTTTACTAAGCTATTGTCATTAACAAAAATATGATTAAATATATGTCTTCATTCCTAAACTTGGCGAGCTTTTAAATACAATTACCGAATTTCCTTTGGAAGATTGACCTTTTAAGTCTTCAGATAATTTAATCCACAAAAAAAAAAAAACAATTACTAAACTTGACGATATTTAGATCAATGGTCAGATATCCTTTGGAAGATCGATTTTTGAAGTTCGCATCCAGAGAATCAAATTTGTGAAGTTATGACAGATTTTATATGTCCTGACAAGGATTTCAAAGACTCCCTTAAAAAAAATTGTAAGTGAATTTATGGAAGTGTACCTTCAAGGCCTTCATCTATGCACTTCTTAGGGTTCACTATGTCTAATGATGAAATACCAGACTCCTTTAGAAAGAAATTGTAAGTGAATTTAAGGAAGTGCGCATTCAATGCCTTTGTCTATTCACTTCTTTGGGTTCGTTATGTTTGATGATGAAATACCAACAAACAATGACAATAAAAACTAATAAGAGATTGGTCTACGACTCTACACCTATGCTTTGTGCGGTGTGCTTTTAACATTTTCTTCAAACTTTTTGCTCTCAAAATACTTGAGAATGAACAAATAGTAAGCCAAATTGCCGTTTACGAAAGGAAAGGCAGTCAGGAAAAGGTCAATACTAATTGCATTACTAGACCAGTTACCTCAAAAGTTTTTTAATCGTCAAATTATCAATCCTCATCAGAAGAACTGTCCGAGGATATTGTTCCTCGATCATCTACTGCAGCAGGCTCCTAATGATTAATAAGAAAATTCAACATGATCAACATTTCAATAACTTCTAGATCTTCAATATCATAAAAAGATAGACAGGAACAATATGTGAACCATTTTGACGCTTACTGGTATTTTATCCCAGTCCTTCAACTTTGAATTGTTAAGGATGTAGCTATCACATAAAGGAGCCCATCCAGGTTCATCATCGTTTTCTTTACTTGCAGATTTAGTAACCTGCACAGAGCAATGCAAACAGATGGACTCCAAAAATGATCAAATTCATTATGGAAATTCTACAGCTTTTCAAGTTACCAGTTGAGATACATGTGCAATGCACGTTGTTGAATATCATGATTATTTAAATTGATAAAAATAGAGTAAAAATAAAAAGAATAATGTTTTTTGTGGGATTGAACTCAATAATATTTCTCTTAAATAAAATATTGTCATTGTTTCCTTCAACCCAGACTGTACCACGTGATCTACTATTTGTGAGTTATAGACACATTAATCAAGTACAACATCTCTCTTTATTAGTATCTTGAAGTCTTCAAAAGATGGGTGATAATTCAATTCGCAAAGAAATTTTGTATATGAATTTACTTGCAATATGTCCATTAAATTTTTATTTGTGGTTCGACTCATATTCGCGTTAACTTTTAGTTGTTGTTTCACTCATATTTACATTATCTAATATTCTCATTCAATTTTATAGCTTATTTTCTGTATCATAGAAGTAAAACTAAAAGTATGATTTTTTTTTTTTGCGAAATTAGAGCAGGGAGATTATAATATATTTCACTATGTGCTCTAAATATAAAAATTTCTTTTTCCTTTGATGCAAGGTCCCTATCAAATCTTACCCAATCGATGTGAATGAAAAATACTATTATAACTCACTTGCCTAGGACAATTATATTGTATCTAGGACATTTAGCTTGTCTGGGATATCCACATCTGCTAAGTGGATTTTGTTGTTGAGAGATCAACGTGGGCTCGTCTTCAAACTTTTTAGCTTTATAAAAGACACAAAATTTAGAGTGTATAGCTTGTATATCGTAAAGAACATATTGGTTCATGAAGAACTTTCCCTAAAAACGATATTATTACAATCATATTACTATTTAGTATTAAATCAATTTTATTATATAAGATTATATAACCATTTTTAATAAATTATAAACAATTTTATTATATAAGATTATATAACCATTTTTAATAAATTATAAAGTATATATATGAAAACCTCGATGCTTATAGCCAGTAGTTGGGCTCCACATTTAATAAATTATAAAGTATATATATGAAAACCTCGATGCTTATAGCCAGTAGTTGGGCTCCACAAAATATGTGAACTTTACATTGTAGTTTGCTATTTGTAATACTATTGGCAATGCTATTACCTTTCCTCTTTATCTTATTATTCACACTTTTCTGTTGTAAGTTCTTTTCTTGCTCATCACTCGATTAACTATATTTAGTTTTTATAATATCAGAGGTTAGAATATTCTCTTCTATTTAAAAAATATTGACACGGTTTATTTAAAAAATATATATTCATAGTAGCAATAGTATATACTTCAGTTCAACTCAAACATTAGCTTGAAGTCATTTAAAGTGATGTCATTTCTACGCTAGAATAGTGATATAGTGATTACACAGTCCAAAGGTCAAAGAAAAAAATTTTATAAAGAAAAAGTAATTTAATATATCAAATTAAGAACTAATTTATAAAATATACATGAGCAGTGGATATAGCTATAAAAAATAAAGTATACATCTTCATGAAAATTTCATAGTGAGTGACCAACTACAATCATCCTAACTTAAGAATAAATAATTATTATTTTAGTTACTAATTTTATATGCGTAATTATGAAATAAATCTCAAGCAAAAAATAGGAATTGAGATTGTATTATCATGTAGGTAAATAAATAAATGTTATTAGAGCTCCTCTTTATATTAAATTTAAAAGTAATAATTTAAATCATTAAGCACCAAATATTAGCTCATGTGAGAAAGTAAAATAATCTATGGTCTATATACATATATAGTCAACCAATCAAACGTGTTAAAATTATGATGGCCACAGTCAAAAGTATATGATGGTTTCATATTAAATATAATTTATAAAATATAGCACCTTAAAGTCAAAATATTTTTAACAAATATATAGATTGTCTGAAATTTTTTTCATATATAAACTATACTGCCTAGAAATAGTGATGTTCACACGTAGCTATGGCCTAATAATCTTAAAAACGACTTATTCTTCAATATCATCATTAATTGACGTATCTATACATTACACTGAAAACACAATAAAAAAATTAGAAAACAACAAAATAAAAAATTCAAAAGTTTTAAAAATTGTAAAAAACATCCTAATATTTTGTAATTCATAAATGCAAAAAACTACTAAATATTACATTGACCATGAAATTTTTTTTCTAAACCTATACTTTTAAAGGGTGTATGATATTTTTGCAAAATTTTAATTTTCTAAGGGTTGTTAGTAATTTTGCATATTCATTATAGGGTCTATAGGTTAGAAATTCTCATGGTATTTTTTTTTATAAATTATTAATTTTAGGGGCTTTTTGTAATTTTTTAAACTTATAGACCTTTTCTAGATATTATAAATTGTTTATAGACTATTTATAATTATTATGCTTTCAATCAACTAATGAGTTTGAAATTCTAAGTGTGTTCTTTAGAAATTTTATATTTTAAAGGTTTGCTTGTAATTTTTGTAAATCTAAGGGTATTTTCTATAAATTATAAATTATGTAAAGGATATTTGTAATTTCTATATTTTTAATGTACTGTTACATTGAAAATTATCAAGATTTTTTATAAATTTTATAATTTTGAGGTTTTTATTTTACAATTTGTAAAATATTCAGTGTATTGCTAATTCCATAAATTTTCGGGGATTGTGTTATTTGTAGGTTTTTAGTGTGTTTATAGGTTTGAAATTATCAATGTTTATTTTTATAAATTATAAATTTTTATTTATAAAGTTTATAATTTTGAGGGTTTTATTTTACAATTTGTAAAATATTCAGTGTATTGCTAATTCCATAAATTTATGGGGATTGTTTGTGTTTTTTGTAGGTTTTTAGTGTGTTTATAGGTTTGAAATTATCAATGTTTATTTTTATAAATTTTAAAATTTCAGGGTGTTGTTACAAATTTTAAAACTTACAAGATATTTTCTCCGAAGTCAAAAAGTTTATAGTTTCTAGCTAGCATATGTTTTTAGATTTCTCACTGAATTGAAATAAGTAAAATTTATAATTTTTAAGATGCTTTAATAAAATTTTAAATTTGTAGGGATGTTTTTGTAATTTTAAAAACTTGGAGAATATTTCTAACAAAGTAAAAAAAATAGGTGTTAGCTAACATATGTTTTTAAGATTTCTCTGCAAACTGAAATAAGTAAATGATTTGAATTATATGAAACGTATCTCTTTTATCTAATAACATGTTAAGTCACATTATGAATGAGATAAATCATTTAGTTATCAATTCGAAAAAGATAAAAAAGTTAATGGTAATATTGACCATAGAAAAAAATTTCTGAACTCGTTTAGTTCCCATGATATTTTTTTGTAAATTATGAATTTTAGGGGATTCTTACAATTTATTAACTTATAGGCCTTTTTTACAGATTGTAAATTATTTATAGACTATTTATAATTCATATGCTTTCAATTTACTAATAAGTTTAAAATTCTCAGGGTGTTTTTTTGTAAGTTTTGAATTTTAAAAGTTTTTTTTAGTTTTTAAAATTTTAAGGGTATTTTCTATAAATTATAAATTATGTAGAGGATATTTGTAATTCCTATATTTTTAATGTACTGTTATATTAGAAATTATCAGGATTTTTGTAAATTTTACAATTTTAAGGGTTTTATTTTTTAATTTGTAAAATGTTTAGAGTGGGTATTGCAAGTTTCATAAATTTTTGGGAGTTGTTTGTGTTATTTGAAGGCTTTTAGTGTGTTTATATGTTTGAAATTATCAAGATGTATTTTTATAAATTTTGAATTTTTACAGGTGTTTTTGTAATTTTCAAAACTTACAAGATATTTTCTCCAAAGTTAAAAACTTTCAGTTTTTAACTAGCATATGTTTTTCAGATTTCTCACTGAATTGAAATAAGTTAAATTTATAATTTTCAAGATGCTTTAATAAAATTTTGAATTTGTAGGAGTATTTTTATAATTTAAAAACTTAGAGAATATTTTTTACAAAGTCCAAAAACATTTAGATACTGGCTAGCATATGGTTTTTAGATTTCTCTGTGAACTGAAATAAATAAAGGATTTGAATTATATGAAACGCATCTCTTTATCCAATAACATGTAAAATCTCATTATAAATGAGATAAATCATTTAGTTACCAATTCAAAGAAGATATGATGGTTAAAATAGATTAGAATAACAATGTAATATTCAAAAAAAACTAAGGGTAATATTGACCATAGAAAGATTTTTCCGAACTCGTGCTTTTAACGAGTATGATTTTATGTGGACTATGTGAACTATGTTATCACATAATATGCAAGCTAACTAAAACTGTGACAAACACACCCACCCAGCCCCATGCACATGCAAACACGCACACACACATCTACACTACATATAAAGGAGGATTAGGGTGATAAAACTTTTGATTGCCTCTTTTACCCCTCTCAAATTTGATAATTCTACCTTTACTATAATTATTTTCTTTATTTGATTTATCTCTAAGCCTCATTCCATGAGTCTTAAATTAAATTAAACTAAATTAATTACAAATCATCATAATGATAAGATTTAATTAGTTTCTTAGGCTCTTAAAGATTCCATAACTTACTAAACTAAATGCATATGTTATAGATCCAATTAACTAACCACTCTTTCATTTTCTCTTTACATAACCTCTTTTTTATTATTACACTAAATTACCGTCATTCATTCTCTTCAACCCACCACATCACTTTTTAAGCCAAATTCCTCCACCAACACAATGGTTATAAAATATTATATAGAAAGTTCGTTAAATGATTTATAGTGGACGTGACTTGTATATGTAGGTCCATGTGCATACATTGGATAATATTTGTCAAATAGTTTGCAGACTTAAAAGATCTATTTTTTTATAGAGTTGAAGATTATGCCTCATGTTCAATTCATAGCTCTTGATTTGTGATGTCTCTTGAATCCTTGAAAAGAGAAGGATAAAAAAGTATAGAAAGATTATAATTTGAAAGTCTTGATATTTAAAAGTATGTACAAATCTGATTTGGGAATATAAGATTGTTTTTTGTGTGTGCTTTTTTTAACTGTGAATTAGGTAAGATTCTTATTGATCTTTTAATACTTATAAAGAATGTATGATTTAATTTTTGGAGTTATGCAAAGCTATTTAAAGATTTTCCTCCTTGGCCCTTGCACAATGTTGTAAAGAGCTTTTTGTGCTACTTATCATAAGTTGTGCTTTTTCTTTTGAATATACATTATAAGTTGTGATTTCTTATTCATTAGATGTATTCATGATTTAATTCTCAACTAATTACTCAGTTCATATGCACTTTAGGTTCAGATGTGCTATCAACTTATCTAACACTTCCAATGTTTCTTGTCCTTTTAATTTTCTTACCTCTATGAAGCATCTTTTATGTTCTTTCGTTAATAATTTTGTTGAATTATAAAACTTTGTCTTCTTTTTGATTAACCACCAATAAGTTCTTTTTTCCTATCAACTTTAGGCTACAAAGATCAACAAATAAAACATATTGACTACTATCTTCTACTCATTGAGTAAATCAGAATACACAAACCTATATATAATATATTTGATTGCATTGCATAAAATTTTTGATTTCATATATGAAATCAATATTAGTTTGTCTCTTCATTGAGATTCTTTAATTTAGATTAAAAAATTGACTTATACAATTCTCATGAATTAAGCTATTCAAACAATATCTTTATACCGCTTGGGATTCCATCTTGCTATTATAGCTTTTGTAATTTTGCATCTAATAATAACTTTTGCTATTCCAACCATATACTAGACATTTAATATTAATTATTTATTTAGTGGCCTTTGTAACTTTCGTGCATGATATATTGGGAATGACTATACCATGAGTAAATATTATATCGTAAGTACATATTTAAGAATCAATAATGTAAAATATATTATTTACTAATAACTTTTTAAACCAAGTACGCCACGTGCAACACACGTGTAGCATACTAGTATATATGATAAATGAACCTTTTCCAACTAATAAATCTTAACCATAACTATATATATATAAACTCAATACTCCATATTATACAAATTTGTTATATGTGAATTTCTTAGGGATATTTCTAAAATAAGGCATACAAGCAGCTGTATAAAAAAAGATCTTGTATGATGGAAATAGTGCAATTACTATATGATGGGGGAAATCGAAGAAAGATAAATAAGTGTAAGAATGAAAGTATGAAACTTTAATTTGTCAAGCACTTTACTAGTGTACTTTTACCTCTGTATTACCAATTGATACTCTACAGATTCTACAATTACATGAAACTTGGAACCATCTCATGAAGCATATTCTTATTAAATCAGTGAAGTTTCAAATGTTTATTATAAAAAATAAATGTGTTAATTTATACAGTTGGATATAATAAGCTTAATGAATTTGTGTGTCTTCAGTAATTTGATTGTCATAGAAACAAGTCAACAACTAAGCTAATATAGTTCTACAATAAAGCCTGTCAAGTAGCAAAAACACCTTAATTTCAAATCCATAAGATATAATGTTGAATGCCAAGAGAATACAAGTTTTCCACTATAGTAAACAAAACCAAATTTGAAAGGTCCAACTGCTAGACCTGTAGGAGACTGTAAATGGCAATAGATCACAATAGTCAATTTTTTTAATACCTTCGAAGAGTAGAAGGAAAATCCATGATCTGATTTCTCTGTTGCTGACTTACTGATTTCCGACAAAAATGTCTGTTTCCTCCGTTTTGCCAATTCTGAGAAGAAAAAAAGGATTTTCATTAAATCAAGCAAACTAAATTCTACAACTTTTATCCAAAAAAAACCATAAGAGAAACAATGCCTGATAACCATAATAAAAATGCCATCAGCATTACAAATTATAGAGAAGACAAATCTGCTAACTCTTTAACTTTCATAATAAATTTATTATTCTTCATACAACTGAAGTTGGTTCCTATTAGAAGATAGCATCATAATTTACAGCGATAGCATCATAAATTACAGTATAATAAATAATAATCATTTTATTAGAAGATAGCATCATAATTTACAGCGATAGCATCATAAATTACAGTATAATAAATAATAATCATTTTTAAACATGCAAGGACCAATTCTAAAGCTTATAGCATCATAAATTACAGTATAATAAATAATAATCATTTTTAAACATGCAAGGACCAATTCTAAAGCTTTGTTGAGCAAATTAGTCATGCTAATATGGTCAAAGTCAAAAGATAGGAAGCAAGCACATAATAGTATGCTTTTATTTGAAATTTGTTACATGATGTTCACAAGTGATGAAATTCTACAATTAACATGAATTTTAATAGTCCAGAGACACAATTCTTTTAATCAAATTAAAAAAACTATTTAAATTATTTAGATTAAATCAATTATAGATATACTTTGTGTAGTATCCAAAAATTATTCTTAGACTCAAAGAAGTAATTGGATCCTGATTCAGATTTGGAGAATAAAATCTCCATTCAAAAGAAGAATAAGACATATATAATTCAAGTATGAATCTAACTGCGTATTCCAATGCTGTTCAATTTAACTCTAACTGTAACATAGATGAACATAATCCAAAGCCACTAATAATACTGGAGAATGATTCTTCAGTAAGCATAAATTCTAACAGCATGGTCGATTTAGGCAAGTAATCTGCAAAAAACTAAAAATTCCATGGTAATTGAGCAGTTTGAATGTCAATCCACTCACCAAGATGACAAACTTGCACTCAAGTGCAACTACTGGTTTTAACTCTAACTGTAACATACATGAACATAATCCAAAACCACAAATAATACTTGAGAACGATTCTTCAGTAAGTATAAATTTTAACAGCATGGTCGATTTAGGCAAGTAATCTACAAAAAACTAAAAATTCCATGGTAATTGAGCAGTTGAATGTCAATCCACCTAAGATGACAAACTTGCACTCAAGTGCAACTACTGGTTCTAACTGATCTTGATCAGAAGATCAATCTTGAAAACAAGGTCAATATAAACTTGTATTAACTTCTAAACAGAGAGATAGGAGCCTTCAGCTTATGATTTAGTCTTCAAGGTCAATATAAACTTGTATTAACTTCTAAACAGAGAGATAGGAGCCTTCAGCTTATGATTTAGTCTTGCAGTCGAGTCTTGATGATAAAATATAGTTAAACAGAGAGATAGGAGCCTTCAGCTTATGATTTAGTCTTGCAGTCGAGTCTTGATGATAAAATATAGTCATTTCTGGAGGAAACCCTTACAAGTCCAAGATGTATATAGAATCATCAAAAGACATTCAATCCTAGATAGACCAAAATATGATGAAAAATATAGAAAGAAATGAAATTAAATTATGTACAAATGCATGTTGTTTTATCCAACTTGATCTCCAGAGGTTGAGCAAAGGTGTAATCATGACAAATTAATTAAAAGGAGCACAATTATTAAAAGGATCTGGAATAAAGAAATTAGAACAATATGCCAGATAAACCTTGAATATATATGGATGATGCGGTAGTGAAAGACCACAGAAAATTAGCAGCTGGACCACATCTGATGCAAATCATGTCTACTTATCACAAGCTTATTATGATTCACGTCTAATTAAGAAGATATATGTTTCAATTGGTAATTATGTACACTGATGAGCAGGCAATATCAAACTTTAGTAACCTAAGCTATGGTACGACGCTTTGCTTTACAGAATTGAATCATGGAAGATGGTCTGCTCCGTGTGCAGCTGACCTGTCTACAATGAATAATGTCCATGGTTGACGACTTATCGAGCACAATATTTTTGCAGTAATGTTCTCACTTAGTTATAGAACTTTTGATCGAGGCGAGGATCCATTTATATATATCAACATGTTCATGTCCATGCTTCTCCATATCAAGGGCATACTCTGTTTTCATTGCTCTTATAAGGTTAGAGTGATTACTGAATTAAGCTTGACCCATATAGTTCCCCATGGTTCTTATAATATTAGATTATAAATATGATGTCTTCTACAGATGCAAGAGGCCATCCTTTTCTTAGATCTTTTTCCATTAAGGAACTTAATTCACCACTTAAATCATATAGGGGTAAAAAAATTGTTCAGATAACAAAAGGAATGAGTGTATGATAACTTTTTTTTAACTCTCCCCGACCTTAACATCCCTTCATCCCACATATCCCCTCCCACCCATGCCCCTCCCCACCATTCAACCCTATCCTCCTCTCCATTGTGCCTCCTCCCTAACCTGCCTCCTTCCCCAGGGGCTCTGCCCCCTCATCGTGACACCAATCTACTCATCCCGACCCTTTTTATATTCAATTTCGGTTCTAGCAGGGGTAAAAAAAGCTTCATTACCTATGAAGTGTTAATTTTAACAATAGTGAGTCTGGGGTTAAAATCAAGATGCAAATTAGCAGATTACGATAATTTGGGAGAAAATTTAAAAATGTCCAAGGTCTAGAGGTGTATATTGGAAAAGAAATCTTAAAACTATTAGAGCATTTTCCTAATTTTCGTACCTCTTTTTAGAAAAAGAATGAAGGTTATTTTGCATGCATGCTTGTGGTGCCAACAAGAGAAACCTAGCATTAGAGATGCCTATCCAAAAAAAAGGCAAAATTGGAAGTTTGGTATCTTGGGTTTCCTATTTGTAACTTCTTAAACATGTTCATGTTTGTAACCTTAGGAACAAAATCAGTTACAATAATAGTGACAAAATACTTAAAAGTGGTATAACAAGAGCAACAAACCTTTATCACAATTTTTTGAGGACCGTAATGGTCAAGGCCTTTTTATACTGATTCATCAAATCTCAAAAAACTTGTGATACAAGGTAAACATGTAAAAAAACTAGTATATGCACACATGACATGGCATATCAAGGAGACACCAAAACTAGAAAAGCATATATCCTATATTTTCAGTCAGAACACACATGACATGGCATATCAAGGAGACACCAAAACTAGAAAAGCATATATCCTATATTTTCAGTCAGAAATAAAAAAATAAATGTCTTTTAATAGACACCAAAACTAGAAAAGCATATATCCTATATTTTCAGTCAGAAATAAAAAAATAAATGTCTTTTAATAATTCAATTGAACTCTACCTTAACCTACTATAAGCATTTCCCTTCTATAATTTCAACAAACACATAGTAAGTATTATCACCCTTCTAATGAATGAGCATAGTGGATACAAATCTAACTTCTTGGATTCCAAATGCACTAAGCAAATCCATACTCACAAAATAGAAATGCAATGAATTTCTTATAAATGAATAGAAATTCAATAGTCAAGACATAGAAATTAATGATACTTTACATGGTAAATGACAGATAGTTAAAAAATAAATATGTTGATATGCATTCATAAGAAGAAAGAAAAGCAACTATCATGTAGTGTAAACATGAACCTTACCAAACTGGGTTTTATATTACTAAAAAGAATAAACAAGTTGTTTGCTATATCACACCTTTGGCATCTTTAAACCTTGAGGGATTCAAGTCTTTCTGTGGATTTTGTGCCTTATTGACCTGTAAATGACAATTTCAAATATGATAGGAGGGGATTCAAGTCTTTCTGTGGATTTTGTGCCTTATTGACCTGTAAATGACAATTTCAAATATGATAGGAGCTGCAACATCTAAAGATATAAAAGAAATGCCTTATTGACCTGTAAATGACAATTTCAAATATGATAGGAGCTGCAACATCTAAAGATATAAAAGAAAAGGAAGATGAAAAGGTAATAGTGTAGTAGTACCGCATTGAACAACTTAACCACTGAAAGCTCATACCGCATATGCAAGATAAAATTTGGTAAGTGCCTCAACCATTACCGATGTGGTATAACAAGACTAAATATTGGATGTTGGGAAAGAATACCTCCTTTTGTAGCAATGCTAATTAGAAGTTTTTCCTTCGTGTCTAGGAAACTTGCTGGTTTTACGTGACCCTTCTCTCCTGCCTATTCAACATTATGTAAAGGGCGAAATTAATGTTAGCCGTTTTTCCACAAGTAGGGATAAGTGTAAACTTGATCATGTTTGAAATTTAAATAAATTACAAACCAAATGCTTTTCCTTCTTCGCCTCTCCCTTTGACTTATACTCAGTTTCCTCTTCCAGTAGCTTCTCAGCAATAAGCTTCTTGTGTGCAGATAAGACTGGGCCCTTTGTACAATACAAGAAAGAAAATCCATGTCAGTGAAGGAATGGTTTACTAATCCTATCATTGGATGTACAAATAAGTCAAGACACTTAGAATTTTTATATCAAACCCAATTGGAACAAATCCAAGTTTAGGGTTTTGAAACACCAATCAACACAGACAAATCTCCATAATGTGGCAAACATTAGTTTCTCTCTGGGTATCCATTCACGATTCATCTTCAACGTGGCATAAAAATAGGAGCTTGCAGAATCTTAATTAATAAGTTGTCAAAGAGGAGAAATTAAAAGAAGTTGTTATTTACCAACGAATCATTGGGGAGATGCTTCTTCATAATCTTGAGGAAAGCCGTTCGAAAAGCCCTGCAACCTTCAGAGAACTTAGTAATGCCCAGACGAGAGCCATCGTCCTCTTCGTCGGAGGCATCGAAATCCCTCTCCTCTTCTTCTTCATCACTGGATTGTTCATCGGCAATTTCTTCCTCTTGCTCATATTCTTCTTCGGATTCATCGGAGTTGTAGGCTTTGGCTCGTTTCTTGAAGAGCTTCTTCATCTTTTGGCTAGGGTTTTTTGTTTTTGCAACGGGTTTGAAGTTCTTGTCGGGTTTTTTCTTTCCCTTGCCTCTTCCATGCTTTAGCTTTCTCTTCTTGGAGAATGAGGTAATTGCTGTTGTTGATGCTTCCATCAATTACTTTTTATAAATGGCAGAACCCAGGCTACAGTAAACATAATATTTTATCAATTACTTTTTATAAATGGCAGAACCCAAAAGCTACAGTAAACATAATATTTTAATCTATTATATTTAATTGTTTTTTTCCAATATTTAGAAAATTTAGAAAAAAATTGTAAATCCACATACAAAATGAGTGGCTTAATTCAAAATTCAAAGATTCAAAATTCATGTAAATGTAAATCCCTCCATCAGTGTCAGTCAAATATCACACATCACACATACAAAATGAGCGGCTGACATCAAAATTCAAAGATTCAAAATTCAAATTCAACTAAGATAATGAAATTATCTATTCTCCCTCCAAACTCATGTTTCTCCCTCCAAATTCCCATTATAATACATAATACATTTACATTCATACTTCACTCAAGAAAACAGCCCTCACTACATCAGGTAAGTCCCAATTTATTCTTAAGTCTAGCCTTTGATGATATCCAAATAGTTTGTCAGGTTGCCACCAGCATGCAAAAACAGAGCAGCAACCAACTAGGAGTCAATTCAACCCAAAAAAGAACAAAGAAAGGAAACCAAGAAGAGAGCAGTAGCCAGAAGCAATACAAAACAATACGATGGCATAAAAAAAGAAGGAAGCAGCAGCAAGAAAAAAAAAGAAGAGAGAAAAACTTAGAAGAAATTAAACAATGTTACTATCACATACTACCTAGCAGCAGCAAGAAAAAAGAAGAGAGAAAAACTTAGAAGAAATTAAACAATGGTACTATCACATACTACCTAGCAGTCAATGATCTCAATATCTGTAGTCAATGATCTCAAATATGCAAATAAACTAACCAAGCCTGAACTTTGTGAGCGCAAAACAAATTAGGGGAGATCCATTCAATCGTGGAAAAAATAATATAGCGGCCAGTATGCAAAAACAGAGCAGCAGCCAACTAGGAGTCCATTCAACCCAAAAAAAGCGCATAGAAAGGAAACCAAGAAGAGAGCAGCGGACAGAAGCAATACAAAACAACACTATGGCATAAAGAAAGAAGCAGCAGCAAGAAAAAAGACGAAGAAGAAAAGAAAGGAAAACTTAGAAGAAATAGCAGAGAAAGGAATTTTCAACAACTTACAAACATGTTTAAGTTTTAAATGTTCTATAAATTTAATTTTTTAATATTGCATACTTGCTTTTGAACCTTTATACATGACTCTTTATTTCTTCAGTATAACATTAAATGCTATAAATGATACGTACATTAATAAAAATTGCACGAAACTAAATTGTTATAATCCTGCATTATCTCATCTTTACAATGATATGATTATGTTGCCTAACTGATGAAATTAATAGGCTTGGTTTGTCGAAATAGGGAATTGATGAGGGGATTAGGAATGTTGCTTGCAGGGACTCGCGCGGGCGAGCAATGCAGGTTGTGATGGGTTTTTTAATTTATTTATTTATTATGTATAATTAAATTCCAAA